GATACCACAGTTTGATTTTATTGAGCCAAATACACAGAACTGTGTTCTAACCTTGGCAGGGTGAAGCACGGTCAGGGTGCCAAGTCCAGTCAGGTACCAGTTATACATATACATGCTGGAAAAACTAGACTCCTCACAGCATGATGTAAGGAATTCAGCTTAGTGTTCGTCACCACACGTCACACTACTAAGGCACATGTTACTCATTGTTCTGATAAATGTATGTGCACTGATGCTCTAAAATAAACTTTTAGTCTGTTAGAGGTCATTCCCATTTCTGCATTAATTTAACACACTAGGTGACCACGAAACCAGACGGAACGGAGTGCAGACTGATTGACTTTCCTACATCTGGAAAGACTCACAGCAGCCTCTCAGATATGCAAGACATTTCCCTTCGGAATAATCTCCAGGACGTGGTTTATGTTAGCCTCACAGTCCTCGGCTGCATGAGCCAATAAATTACAGCAGGTTGCTGAAGGAAATTGAATTGGATCGGACCTAAATTGGCAGCTAATAAAACTTTAAGTTCAGGATCGCCGTTTTGACACATGGATTCACATTTTTCTCATTTTGCAGGACTGTTTCTTTTCAGGAGGCACGTCCACAGAAATGTGAACTAACTACAGGGAGATTGCTGCATAAATGATTCACCTAAAGCATCATGCAAATTAGGTCAAAGATGACGAGAGCTGTTATATACAATTCATGATAGACCACAGCCTCCCCCTTTACTTCCACTTATCCACTTGAGGGTCGGGGGAGGAAGGTAGACCGTCCGTTTGACGAAAGCCAGAGAACACCTCTGACATGTTCGCAGTCCTTCACAGCGCTGACATATAAAGTTACACAAGCATCCACATCCACAGCTATCTGAAGTCTCAAATTAACCTAACCACCAATCTGCGAGACTTTGGATTGTGGGAAGAAGCCTGAGTACCTGGAGAAACCGCGATGACTGCTCGTACTCCACCCACCTCACAGCTGTGCAACGAGACGAGGCGACTGCATGGCCTCACTTATCATGAATATATATTTTTTGTTTGTGTTTCTGCATCTCCAAGGATTGTGTACAGACTCAGGAAATTATCATCCTCTGATTAGTTCTGCATCACAACCCAGTTTAGGGATCAAGAAAGATGTTCTGTTGGACTTAGTTATGTAGGAGAGGCAGCTGATGTAGTGACATGTAGTTCACCTTCTCCTCCTTAATCCTTTTCAGGGTTTTATCGGACCTGAAGCCAATCCCAGTAGTCATCGGGAGAAGGTTGAGGCTACCACCTGAAAAGTTGTTAGTCATTCACAGGGCCAGATATGGAGGCTCACACTAGTACTAATGGC